TGATTTTGGTTCGTTTAAAACTCGTTCAGTAAACAAATCAAACTGAGTCAACCCCAACTCGTTAAAGCTCGAGAATAATGGCCTTGAAATATTTTTTTGGACTTTTAATCTCCCTTTGCACGACATGTAATTGAATCGGTAAACGAACAGAGTTTGAGCTCGGTTATCAACTCAGCTCAAGTATCATAAATTCAAACTTGACTAGACTCGTTTACACCTCTTAACAAAATATATTTGATTAAAATGCAGGGTTTTATAGGTAAATCCTGAAAAATCATAGACATTTTATTTCAAATAATCGGTTTTGTTATGAATCCAACAGTTGGCTCCATAGTGGAGCCAACCTTCTATATACAACAAATAAACCATACCATATTAATAAAATTATATTAATGTTATTTAAGTAATCAGAGAATATAGTAGGTTTACTTGTTGTATATAGAAGGTTGGCTCCACTATGGAGCCAAATGTTGGCTTCATAGCAAAACCGTTCAAATAATACCTCAAATTTGGAAATATTCAATTGAGAGAGAAAATAAAAATGTTGTACTATTGAAGACGACTATGTACACATTTATTAGGTTTGCCAACATTATATTTATAAATGCCAAAATTTATCATATGGCCACTGTGCATCTATTAAAGAAGACAACAAATGCATGGTTGCATTTGCTCTCAAGAAAGTTGGTGGCATCTTTAATTCAGTTTTGAAATTTCAACGTTATAGTTTTCTCATTAAATACCCATATTTTTAAATTAAAATTTTATACTCTAAAAATTAATATAAATGAAATTTAAGACATTTCATAACATACATATATATTTTGTTAAAAATATATTATAGGTGGACCTACAATAATTTGTGTATTATGTTATATTTTTTTTTTTGGTACATTGTATTATGTTATATTAATTCTTCTTTTAATTATTGAAAATGTTTTGTGGTTTAACACATTAATTAGTTAGTAAGCAAAAAATAAAACATAGAAAATGTTGATTTTATTATATATGATATATGATTGTTTTTCGGGTAGAGCTGTAGAAGAGCCGAGCCGAGCTCGAGCTCGAACCTTAACGAGCCGATCTCGAGCTTTAACGAGTCGAACTATAAAAAATTATATAAAAATTATATTTTTGAGTCTCATCGAGCCGAGACGAGCTCGGGTCGTTAGCCAAACGAGCTTTAAATGAGCTTGAGCTTGGCTCGTTAAGGCCTCGAGCTCGAGCCGAACTCAAGCCTTAACGAGCCGAACCGAAGCAAACTCGTTTAATTTACCAGCACTATGGCGCGCTGTACAAACTACAAAGAGATGGTCCCCAAAAAAGATGAAGTTGTGTGAGGTATATGTAGAAGGTCTGTTAGGTGTCATCATAGTCAAACAAACATGAGTAGTATAACTAATAATAATAATAGTCCTTGTTTTTGTTAAAGTTTGATCAACATTCTGTGACCTAACTTTTTGTCTGCAATCATTTTGGATTTCAAAATGGTGAACTCATCAAGACCCAACTTGTTTACAACCCACAAATTAACAAGTTCATATAAAACCTCTAATAAAAAGGGGGGAAAATGAGTTAATTTAAGTGTGAGAAGTGTTAATTTGTTAATTCAGATTAAGATCTGATTCAGCCACTGGTTGAATTGTAGATTGAATTAATCCAACTCATCTTAGGTATCATTATTGAGAATTTGATCACATGATATATATTTCCTTAAAAGACAAAATTTGTTTGAAATAGTTAAATCAAATTAAATTGAATACCAAGAATTTGATCACATATTTGCCTTAAAATTTGAATGTGAAATGTTTGTCTCTCACATTTTGTTTTCTTCCTTTCTAGTGATAGTCTCGTATAACAAATTTCTAAGGTCATCTTTATCTGTTTGCCCTATTTTTGTGTGTGTGTGTGTGTGTGTGTGTTAATTTGTGTAGCTTTTGCATCATATTGATGCAATTAGTGTACCAAA